GGTTGAGCCAAACATACTTAAAAATGTGCAGGGTCATCTTTGAGCAAACCATTTCACTTTTCTTTCACCAGTTTAATGTAGTTCTAGCAGTCACTCTCTCTGGTGTCTTTTCCTTAGTCTTCTCCTCCTTTCCCACCGCCCAGCTTGCTGTTGTGTATAAAAGTGGCTAGATGCAGCAACCCTGACAGCAACTCATTGGATAATTTGTATCAGATGTAGCCTGGACAACATGCAGTAACTTATAAATGTTTTAAATCAGGTTGAGTCCGGATTAGCCAGCAGGTGGGTCCGGATCCAGACCATGTCTGCTAATCCCTCCTCTGCAATAGAGGGATCTGACAATTGCAGGTTAAGTCTAGGTGGTATTTCTGTTTTATATTGGTTATCAAGATGGATCCATTTCCCTAAAGTGGTCATTCTTGACAAATGGCAACAATGAGAACACAGATTCTTTGGGAATAGATGCAAAACATTAAAACACAAAACACACTAACAGAAAGTGGCACCTTGCAGTACAGGCATGGAAATCGATCAAATTAACTGTGTGAAACTTTCTGTTATTACCTAAACTGCTTTAGAAGGTGAGATTTTTTTTTTTGTTAATGTAGGTTTTTTATTTTTCTACACATACCACCTCAGAATAAGGGGTTATTTGAAGTACACAACTCAATGAAAGTGGTTGATTTACTCAGAAAACCTTTTCCCAGTTAAAATTTGATCAACTGACTTCAATTGTTCTTGATTATAGAAGCTACTCCATGCCAGTATGGAGCCCTAGACATGGTTTGATTTCTGGCCTCAATACTTGACTTTATTTAACGAATACAATGAAGTAAAGTAAGATGGAGCGATTAGTGACTTGGTTGATAGATCTGGGGGTTGTGTCTCGATTATAGAATGCAGACTTGGTGGAGATGGGCAGTGGCGCCTCCAGAAATGTTTCATAGGGGTGGCCAGATGGGGCCGCTAAAAATCTTTTGGTGGCCACTGACACTGAAAGCCATAATTTTAGGGTTTGAATCTACTATTGTGGCAAACCTCCCAGTAGAAATCAAAAGACTTAAACACCTAATCATATCTGGGTTTATTAGGATTTTTAGCGTTATGTCACTGGCTGTGCATAATGGGAATAAATGCTAAACTGATACTGGTAGAATTTACACTAGCGGGTGGGGTGGCCAGGACATTGCACAGGGTGGCCGTGGCCACCCCTGGTGGCGCCACTGGAGATGGGAGGGAAGTAAAAGATTTAGTATATTATGCATACAATGTAATCCTGCCAGATCTATGCAGCTGAGTTTATCAGTCAACATTATTAAATGTCTCGTGTAACTGTCAGTACATTTGAAAACTGAATTGCTTTGGGGGGGTTATGAAAAATTATACAGCTTATGATATATAAAAGGCTACTTTATTCCCTCCAAACTTGTTTTGGAAACATGAGAATTGAAGTGCTTGAGACATTATGTCTTTTGTTTGTCCACAGGCTTTTTCTGCAGCTGCTGTTTGCTTATCCATTGGGCCTGCTCCATATATAATGACCTAGTGGCTACTTGGTTGTTTTAAATAAGTTGGCTTTGGTTGTGTTACATTCTATGCAACTGCAAGGGACTTTGAACCATTTGTAAACTGCATTGTAAGGGACTTTACAAACCAGCCAGAGACACCAAAAATGTTGTCCAAAAGAATCTGAGTTTATAAGAAAAATACGAAATGCTCCAAGATTACAAGTTGGGCACAAAAAGGAAGTCAACATAACAGACTTGGGTATTAACATTACCAACTCAAACTAAACCTGACCGGACAAAAAAAGACACAAGGGTAACTTTTTGTTTTACACTTGTGTAAACAAAATGACAAAATCTGTCTAAAGTCTAAAAAAATAAGTCTAAAACTTAAATATAGCCATCACTATACCACCTTATCTCCCCTCATCTTACACATGCAGTCAATGGTATCCTCTTTTTAAATAATTCTATTTAAGGAAAGCTGCTGCAGCTTAAATTCTTTTCTTTCTCTGACTCACCCTCAGAAACTTGAATGTAACTTATAACTCAAAGAAATGCATTGATCTATGACATAGTATCTACAAAATAAGTATAACAGTCTGACAAGGATAAATGTGCACTCACAATGGTCAACTAAAAATCTGATCGCTGAAATGTTTACTGTTTCTTTTTTATAAATGCAAATTTAGTCAGTACAAAGATGTTTTAAGAATGAAAAACAAATCATTTACATTTGATCTAGTGTCTGTGACAGCAGGGACAGCTGTCACATGCCTTAAGCTCACATCATCTTTAATTTGGTAATATGTAAATGAAATAAATCATTAACAAAAATCATAAAGGAAAAACATATTTAGCAGTCCCTTTGTTCAGCAGATGGCAAGATTAGCTGTTCGTACCCTGAAGCTCTACTAGGAGGTGCTTTGGAGTTCTGTAACGCTGCAGGGTTGTTAGCAGGCACTGTAGAGCTGCAGGGTGGAGACGGCTTTGGACCTGTGAGCAATGTTAAGAGGAAAGCAACAGAATGACATTGAAAAGATGGAGCAGTGGAATGCACGCAGTGAAACCGGGCAGGAGGGGAAGTGAGATTTTTGAAGCAAATTGGATTGTTTGTTTTTATGCAAGTGGGTCAGTTGCAAAGAACAGCAAACTCATGGGACTTGTGTCTTTTTGCCGCTTCTTTGTTCTTGGCACCACATGAGGCCAAATGCGCTAAAAATGTTGACAGTTTTCCAAGAAAATGTCACATACTGAGGGCATTGTAACCAAGTTTTTACAGCTCCGGCACACCACCTCTCATAAAGTGTATCACAGGCCACCCTGGTGAAAAAGAGTTTAGATGAAAATGGTCTAATTTTAAGAGTGTGTGTTTGAGTGTGACAAATGGGAACATAGACAAAGGATCTCTCTGCTGCCGCTATTGTTTGACACAGTTCCTGATGAGTTTGCATGTCTGTCTCCTCCAGCTGGTGTCTGAAGCCTTTGTTATATGTGGATAAATATAGTATTCTAAGGTAATTTACAGTGAATGATTTGTTTCCGCTGACGGACATCTAAACACAGCTATCATCCCATTAACTATTCCAATTGATTAATGAAGGTACATAGCAGAAAAGCTGAATAAAAACTGATCACGGGAAGGTACGATTCAGCTTAAGATCTAATTACATGGAAGAAAAAGAAGAAATATGATTGAAGGTCGACCATTTTGCTGCAGTTGAAGATTGATACTTTAAAGATACCAAGACTATTTTAAATCTAAATTGGCTCCAAGCTACATTGAGAATGACGAGTTCAGGTGTTGATGCTTTGCTTCTTTTTTTTTTTAGGTCAGACTTTTAATGCTCAGTATCATTGTATTCCTCAGTTCATTATTTTGGCTAAATAAACTTTAAATAAGGTCCTATCAATTTTAAACAGTTTTTCATTCAGATCTTTAGTAGGGGTGTGGGAAAAACTTTATTTGGCACTATATCGCAATTTCCGGCCTCCCATTATATCAATATTTGAGCAAAATGTGCTACTTCTTCACCGCCACACTGGTAGAGGGCGACTTTGAGCCCTTTTGCTGTGCAGCGCAGCACCATTACTGTGGTGGGGGCAGTCAGTACAGGCGCAGACTTGCTTAATCTCCAAATGAAATGGCTACTAAAACAATTAATCAATATCTTCAGGTAACATTTACAGCACTTGCTCTTTACATTTAATTTTGATATTAGCTGGGTGAAATGTTACAATATCTAGTGATATTGTGCTATATTGTGACTCAATTATTGATGTTTTTCGAATAAGAAGATCACTAGAAGACAGTATTTTTACTATTGTGATTTGTTGACTCATATTAGGAAAGCACATAGTGGATAATACTTAAGGAGATTGTACTGATGCAAGATGTCAGCGGTCGGATGTATCACTATTTTAGGCTACGATCAAGCACAGGTAACTCCATAGTGTGCTTACCTGTACATAGCTATTCCACTAAATGCATTAGCTTGAAATAGGGTTTAACCAATTTATTATAATTTATATATTTTGAAGGATCTCTATGGTTTTGAAAGTTTTCCTTTGGTCCTTAGATTGCATTTCAATAAATTTTCAGTCCTGACATGACGGCATATTTTACTTATTCTCCTTAACTAAATTGGACAGACTAGACTCTAGTTAAAAAAAGAACTTCAAAGAAAGGAAAACTCCACTTATGAGCTCTATCTGGAAGTTGGTACTTTGCAAAAAAGAAAACATTCACTTAAAGACCTGATAAAGACCTGAGGGGTTTATTATCCTTTAGATGATTGTCTGCTGTTTGTCAGACTCTCAGATGTTAACTGTCTGAAAATAAAATTACTGCAGCCTTTTACGCCTGAATTGTTCATGGGTCAAAGTTCAGTGGTCATTAAAAAAAACAGCTTTACTGTGAAATTTGCATCAACACGACACTTCTGTGTGAGACATAATATTGACAAGTTGTAGATGGATGAAATGTTTATAGTTGAGCCTGGTTACCTTCACCTGGGAAACAACCTGCAACCAGTTTATTTTATTTTTTTTTTTCCTATTAAGATATTTATTTCACATATTTCTAAACAGTCACATTAGTCATAACTGTATATATGTTTTTTAGAGCGCGAGTGTATTTAACTTCATATGCCTCAAGCTCTATTTATAAAAATAAATGGCGTAGAGTAAACCACTTCCAGTCATTATACTCAAATTAGTTCAAGCCGTTAATCTTGCTAATATTGTCATTTTTGTCCCTGCTTAATATTCTGTTAAATAAAGTACTTTTGACTGAGATAGTCTATTTAGCTTTTAATTCTTCTATATGATGAGTTCTATGAAAATCAGTGCAACTATTCTTTATGCAGCTTCTTAGATTTTTTTAAACTTTCAGATTTAACCACAAATATCCTTAAACAGTGGCTGATTTTTTACAGCTCTGACTTTTTCTCATTAATTTCAATTCTTCCTTTGTTATTGTGTTTTTGCTTTCAGGCGACCCACCTGTGGGTTTTCGTGATGTCCTGCTGAGAGACGGCCCAGAGGGCTTCGCCAAGGCTGTCCGAGCCCACCAGGGTCTGCTGCTAATGGACACAACATTTAGGGACGCCCACCAATCGCTTTTGGCAACAAGGGTCCGGACTCACGACCTGAAAAAGATCTCCCCATTTGTCAGCCACAACTTCAGCAACCTGTTCAGCCTGGAGAACTGGGGAGGTGAGCTTAGTTCTCTTTAATGTACAAATGCAAAGCTTTAATTTACTAAAATCACAAACTTCTACAGTAGAATCACATGTCTACATCATAATAGCAATAACCAGTCTGTTTCACAGATTTGCATCTGTTCAAAATGAGGGGAAACTCCTAAAATCACCTTTGTTGCATAACGCATTTAATCTGATAAAAAAGGCATTTTTTAAGTTTGTCCATTTGTATCTTTGAAAGAAACAGGGGTTTGAATTTTGCTACAGAGCTGATGTTTGATAAGCAGGTGTGCCACAGCATGGTTGAAATCATCAGGAACCACCCAACAAGCCATACTACTGTTTTCATTCGATGCTTATGAAAGGAAACCGTAGAGTGCAGGTTCTTTGTTAGAGGAACTTCTAATTGAATAGAAATGAAAGAAATACAAGATTTCTGCATCCAAACACCTCTAAACTCAAGCTGCTTAATAATTTGAAAAATTATGTCATAAGAACAAAGTTTATTTTAAAGAAAAGATTTGAACCAAGAGTTTATGCTTTTTTCAATGCAACTAGATCAAAGATTTAAGAGAGACTTGCAGAAATTGTCTTAAACAACCAAAGCCCAAATTTCTGCAATACTGGAATTTTCACAAAGTTCTGAAGCAGCAGGTCAAATTTAAAGGATGTTCCATCTTTTTCAGTCAGAAGCCACAGTTCATTAGGTTCACATCAAACATTGAGAAGCATGTTCATTTCTTACATTTACCTCAGCTACATTGCAGTGTTTAGTGACTACCCTCACCAGAGCTCTTTTTCACCCAACCTTATTTGAGGCAACTGCAGCACCCATTATGGTCTCTTTCTGCACTGTTATCAAAGTCATAATAAAGTTGTTAAACTCAACACTTTTTTTTTCAGGTTACCTTAGTCTTAGAAACAGAAGAAAATACTTTATAAAATGTGAATAATCAGAAAAACAGTAGATCTCCTCCAGCCTTATTGAGGAATCAGTGCAGCTCTATTATTTTACATGAGATGTGGAAAAATTCTGTCATTGAAAAGCTTCTTCTTCCTCCTTCCATTTCCAGAAGGTCTGTTCAATGCGTTTTCACAAAGAAAATGATTATACCTTTTCCCTGCCTTTAGTCAGTGCAGAAATTCACTTGTCAAAGAAGCTTCACAACCAGTGAACAATCTAATCATGTCAGAGCAGAAGATACAATTACTGTGAAATTGGACCAAAGGAAAATGAATGCATCAGGTTTGAGCCGCTTCTTTACTGTGAATTTGTGTTGCTCTGGGCAGGTTTGGAAAAGGACATTCGTTTCTCTCCCGTTTGAACCTGCCAGCACTTGGGGCGAGTCCTCAGGTTGAAACATTTAATGTTCAGTTATTGTAAAATACTCAGAGGAATTGCTCTTTTTATTGTTTCAAGGGCTTTAAGGGAAACACGAGCTTTTGTTGTTTGTGCTTTTATTTCATCGCTATACGGCAGTGTTTTTTATTTTTCAATAAGGCCTCAAAAGGCTTTGAGAGGTTTTAATTCTTCGTAGCACCAAATCATCCACTAGTTAAAGAAAAGGCAATTCATATTTTAGGGAAATTTCCTTTTTAACACAGTAAGGGTTTAAACTGTTCCTTGCTTCCTTTTACATGATTCTCCTGAAAGGGATTATGTTAATATATTTCATATGTTTAAAAGCAGTTAATCAGGATTTTTTTTTTCACAGATTGGTTTTATTCTATTAACTTGAGTCTTTTACATTGCAGGAAAAAGCTGAAAATCCTTTTTGACACTTTATGTTATGTTAACCCTTTATATCAGTGGAATACTTTAAAATTCGAAATTTCGAGTCAAGAGGGAGTTGGAACAAGACCTCATCAATATAAATTATTTTCACGGCTAAAATCAAGGTCAATGTAATCATCAGAAACAGTCACTTGCCCTAATATGGTAAGAACAAATTCAAAGAGCACCTTTATAAGAAAAATAAATACAAGTAAAAAAAGTTTTCTTTTGGTACAACAGAACCCTGAGAACATTAATGCTGACAAGAACTTGGCATACTTCTTTTTAACTTGGTTTATTAACTTTTTAAATTAGCTTAAGTTTTAATTGATTAACTTCTTTCCTTTTTACAAAAGTTAAAAGTATTTAACATATCACACACACAATACAGTAGGCTACATTAGTTTGCTGGTGGTATTGTAAGAAGCAGCTACTCAGCTTTAAGAAAGAGGTGGACCCTGCCATCCTCATTTCACCTCCTGATGTTTCTAGTAGTGTTTATGACCAAATTAAAAAACTAACTTTGATAATAAAGGCTATCTACCAATTATCCTGATTGGTAGATTTACTCTGATTAGAGTGAAAACATACCTTGATGGAGGATGCCAATGTTTTACAGAAGTACTATCAGGTTTTTGGCAAAAAACACATTAGGATGTAGTTTCCCATTATTTGCATGAGGTTACAAACAGCCAGTCAGCTCCAGCTGTGAGCATCCTGGTTCTGTTATGCTTTGTCTCCGGGTCTATGCTCAGCAGGTTCTAAGATTAGCGGTAAATCTCCCACTGACCGTGGCACAGTCGGTGGGGTTTGTTTCACTGATAAAAGAACACACTGAGCCATTTAGCGTTCCCTATTCCTAAAGCTGTAGTTGATCTGCAAACAAGAATACATTGGAGATAATGTCAGCTTTGTTGACTTTATTTTTTGTATAGATATTTTTGTCGATCTGATTTTCTAAACCAGTCATAACCATTGTTTTCTGTTTGAGAAATTCTGAAAAACAAAATCAGTAATTGGTTTTTTGTTTTATTGAGGTGATCTATTATTCAGCCTCAGCCGTAGTAAATAAGACTGAGAACAAAGTCCCAAGATGTTGCTCTTGCCCCTTCTTATTTACAGAGTATGCGTCAGAGCAGACTTGTCCGTTCTTGAGATTGACTTTTAAGCTTCACTATATGGCCTGTTTGCTGATTTAGTGCATCATTAAAAAAAGAAAAAGTTCCCAAAACGCTCATTTGATTTGTGTTTATCTGACTGTGTTGATTATTATTCCTTCACTAAATGAAAAAAGTAATAATACATTATCCCGAGACTATTAATAACAGGAGGTGAAATGCAGCTCTAGACGAGCTTTTAATGTACGTTCTATCCCAATTGACCCATATTTATTCTGCATGCTCCCGTTCTCCTTGAGTCCATACTGTCCAGTGTTTTTATCAAGCATGTACTTGGTGAGAACATGAGACCATTCTCTCGTTCTTGCAAATTGAGAACCAGCCTAGATCTCTTCATTCCATCCAAGTTTTCAGTCATGGGGACCACTTCTTTATGTTTTTGTTTTTAAAGGCATAGGGACTAATTCTAAAGATATTTGTCATGAAAGGTTTTTTGCGCTTGCGTTGTTTTTTTTTGCCCTCAGACATTGAAAAGACACATTAACTACACAGAAGATCTTCTTCTCTGGGACTTTCTGTCAATCTTTCCTTCTAAGGCCTTTACACCCTGGGCTGTTTCCCCGTATCTGTTAGAGCTGGCCTGCTAACATAACCAATCTCAGTTTGCTCTGCTGGTGCATCAGCGTTTTAATCACAACACCCCTACACCCTCAGTTTGTATTCAAACTACACCCTCAGTTTGTCTGAATTTGCCAAACAGAGGCTTCCTAGTAAGATAATCTGCTCACAAAGATATAGGGGAATTGGCTGGCTGTCCTTTCTGTAGTAGACCACAAACATAGCTAAAAACCAAAGAAATTAAAACTCTACTGTAATTCAATTTCCTATTTCTTCCATTTGAAAGTTGGGATTTTTTTATCTGAAAAAATGTTGAATCCATACATTAAACACTGAGTGCCAATTGTACGGCGTTGTGATATTCTCCCTCTTTTCCCCGTAAACTGAATAATATATATACATGTATATGGAAAGAGCCAGGAAAGCAGTCTGTAACTACTAGAGTAATGCAGTCTTATTGGTATTTATCTAAATGTTATGATAGTTTTAAACTCTCCTGGAATAATCATTTCCAGAGCTTGTAGAGAGGTGATACAAATTTGGACAGTCTCTAAACTGGTGCTCTGGTGGCTGTTTACAAAATTTACACTGCAGCTCAAACTTACCCTAAACCTCAGCCTCTCAAGAGGAACCCATTTCACTCCTGACGTCCTAAAGCCATTGTACCCCCAACTTTGCCGGACTTCTAACTAAATCAATCATTAAAGGGATGTGCTATTATTCAATCAGAATGCCTATTCATTGAAACATGCCTTCATCACCCTCAGTCGTTGAATTTTGCCCAGTAATTAGTAGACTATGTGGTGTTAATGAGAGCAGCCGCAGCACTAAAGGCTTGGAGCACACACACTGCACATCAATCTAGTGAGTTCCAGCATCCAGCTATGATAAAGGACAGAGTGAACAGTAAATACATCTTACTTTGTGTCATGCTCTTTGAGAAAGTGCTCATGTCTGAAAGCTGGGCTAGGTGTCAGGTTTGAAGTCTCTTGAAGTGTAAACCGGCTTTCTTCTCCATGGAGAAGTCTGGATAACAGGATATATAGCCACTTATATGACAGCAGAAGTGCATCGCTGCTTTCAGACATAACATATGCGTTGGAGGATGGTAAACAACTCGCATGATAGTTCAGAGAAGGCTAATATAAAAAGTTTTTGCACATCAGATTCATTTGTTTTCCAGAGTTGCAACAAATATAAGATGTATGAACTGAGTCTCTCGAGACATTATGTCTTTCTATATGTGACAGAGTTAAAAATAAAGAACTGAAATAGAATCTACTATAAACAGTCTAATCAATGATTAAACTGATAGTTTGTTTTGGTTTAATATTTTATGTATTGAAAGAAGCGTTTTCCTTCCTGGTTTAATGTTTCTTTTAAATCACACAGAACCAGTTATTCTCTCTACTTATCAAATTGTTGATTTTATTTAATGCATTTTTTTGTTTTACTTCAGATATAAATGCACTAACCTATTTAAAAAGATGTTTTACATTGGTCAAAATGTCAGAATAAAATAAGCAATCAGGGAGCAATCGGGGGTCTTGCTCAGAGACACAAAGTGGTGGTCTGTCATAATATTTAAATAAAATTAAATGGTTTCTACATAGTTACATTAGTATCTTCCAAGTCTTAGTAATTAGAGAAACATTTCTTTATGTTCTATTATTCTTAAGATATAAAACATCTTTGAAAAAGAATAACATTTTTTCCTTTTTTTGTATTAGCCATTTTTTAAACCAGGTTCAAGTTTGAAAATGTGCCTCATGAACTGAAACTTTATATTGGTGTCAAAGCAGTCTATCAAAAAGCTTTGTACTGAGGACATAAAACCCACCTCCTTTCAAAGCTGAATCAGAGCGAGTGGGGGGAAAAAAAGCTTAAAGGATAATGGTTAAAGACTTTTCAATTATAAAAAGGGACTATTGATGTGCAGAGATTCCTCTAATGAGATATTAATTTCTAATTTGTCAAACTAAGCCAACTTTTTCTTAAGAGACCTGCTTTATTTTTATATAATGGTAATTAAGCATGTTCATATGCACTACCTGGTCATTAGAGGAAAAAAATAAAAATTCACACCCCTCTAGTATTCCGCTGAACTACCTCAAGCTTAGATTCCAGCATGCTTTAGCATTGTGTACGATTAGCTTCTGCAACAGTTTTCCAGACCATTGTTTTGCTTTGCTGTTTTATCCATATATTAAGATTGTCTGTTTAGTATCAAGAAGCAAACCTATCTAGGGCTGGAAAAATGTATTGGAGTAATCATGATTAATCCATTATTTAAATAATTGTCAACTAATCTATTAATCATTTACTGCACTATAGAGACAGTAAAAAATGCCTTTAGCTGACAGAGCGACACACTTAGAGCAGTAATTATTCCAACATTGCATTTAAGATTTATAAAAACATTTTCATTTGTAAATATTCCCTATCCAGAACTCCTCAAATGGAGAAATTTTAGTTTCACTTGGTTTAATTTCATAAAATCTTCTTTAAGGAACTTTAAGGAGTTCTTTGAGGAAAAACTTCCTTTTGACTATCTGATTATTAATCAATTAATCAAAAAAATTGTCAACAGATTAATGATTAATGGTTATCATATCATTCCTTTTTACCTGTTGGCCAGAATCCTTATTGAGTCCTCACCCTGAAAGCATAAAGATCTAATATTCACCAGCTTTCAGAAAACATTGTCACCTCATTGGCTGAGTTTGTTAAACACTAATTAGACTACAGTGCAGAAAAAAGTTCATCTCCAGTAGACATTACCCTACAGTGACAGCTCATAGTGGAACCTTTAAATAGACCCTCATAAATCAGTTAATGACCACAGGGAACAGCTCCTGCTTTTCTCCTGATAGGAATTCCCTAAACAGAACACATTTATCACAGTGATCAGAGAAAGCAAATGTCTCAGATCTCTGCTGGCTAGCATGCATCTCTCGAAAGACGTGGTTGAATTTTTAAATATTGAATGCTGTCCCATGACACACCGTCCTCATGCAGTGACGTTTTGTTTTTCGACACTTAAAGGTCTTGAATGGGGAATATTGCCTTCACATGTTGCAGTTGCTTAGTGGCACAATGAATCATTGAGGAGATTAAGCCTGTGAAAGCCCTTAGAGGATTAATTCCCTGCCCGATATAGCTTTCTTCACCACAGAGTAGAAAATACAATAAAATGAACTAGGTCACTCTGTATCTATACAGCTCCTTGTCTTTTAGCTACATAAGTATGTATGATAATGCATGTGAAATGAGGTTGTTTTACTATGCCTCCTTTTTTGTGCTAAGACTGATTCTTATTTCAGAGGCTGGTGAGCAAAAATGGATCAATTAATTCAGAGCGAAAGAAATTTCATTTGACATTGAAATTGATGTAGCAGTAAAAGTATCACATTTATTAACATCTGTAATTACAGTGTTCATCAAAAAGGAAGATAAATGCTTCGACATTTCTTCAACTCTGAATTCTGGAGGAGTCATTTTTAACATTAATGGGCTCTCCTTTATTGGCCATAGAGAATCTAAGAGCTCAGGAATGCGTCTATAGATTGGTGGCAGTCAGCCCTTTTTCCCTCCATTAAAAAGATGTATACTTAAAATGCATGCGCATTGAAATATATTTACTTATTTATATAGGTAATGCCGAAATATGTTATACTGATAGGCTGATTTCCATTTCATTTTAGTTAGATATGGAACAAGCATATGGAGCAAAAAGCATGGAATTATGACATTACAAGCAGAATACTAAACTTGGCTCACTGATTATCTTAATAACAGCCAGAGTAAAGAAAGTAATGATAGAAACATCTTGAACTGAAATGTTGGAAAGTCATATAGATATAGGGAGGCCCTCCTCTCATAAGGGGGGGACCTTGAGAATGCCATGGTTACTGCTCCTGGATAAGGCAAGTTTATTTGTAAAGCACATTTCAAAATATGGACAGTTCAAAGTTTTACATGAATTGGATAATAAAATAAAAAGCAGAATAAAATCAAATAAAAATAAGAAAAACATTTTTAAACAAAACTAGACCAAACCTTAAACAGTCTGCTATACTGTTTGGTATAATCTGAGCCAAGGGGAACAAGTAGATGTTGAATAGAAGGGGCCCCAGAATGGAGCCTTGAGGAACCCTGTATGTGATATTACTGGTATCTAATTTAAAGGTCCCTACTGAGTCCATTTCCTTCAGGTAGGATTTTAACTAGTCCAGTGCTGTACCACAAAGCCTGACCCGGTTTTCCAGACGCTCAAATAAAATCAAGTGATCAACAGTAACAAATACCGCATGGATAGTTACTCTAACCCTTCATCCGGTGCCACAGAGCCGGTTTTTTGTATTGAATTGAATGGATTCTATATGTGACCGAATGCTGGGCTTTCTGACAGAGTCGACTGAGGTCTTTCTCGTACTTTGTATCAACTGTCATTTCTCTGATGCCCTCTCTGGAAGTGCAAATAAGAAGCAGCTGGAGGTCAGGATTTTTTGACACATTAGTTCATGTTTAATTTAACTGCACCGTAATGCAACTGTACAATGTTGCTGGGACAGCCTGTCACGTGACTGTATAGTTATTTTTTTGCAACATACTGTGTGAGCTAAAACTGTTTGATGTAATTAATACACCAAATGACAATCTTGCACTTATTTGGCTCAGACACTGAGAGGAAAAACAATTGGCTGCTGCATTCTAGTGTACATAAACATCCATGACAAATGTTAGAACAGCATTTGTTTACTTTTGGTAATGGTTTACACTTATATGTACTATTTTTATCATGACAAATGTTAAGAAAGCTATGTTCCTTAAACTGTATTGTATTTGTCTCAGCCTAGAGTTTTTCCCTCCTTGAAGCCCATATTCTGCCTAAGCAAAACATTTATCAAGCTGAGGGCAGTGCTTTCATCGAGTTAGGAGAAATATCCCTCCTTCTCCTATCTACTTCCCTAAATCTTACCCTGTTTTCAGACAAAGCCAGATGATTGAAGAACACAATGCTGCGCACTCCATTCTTTGTGTTGCAGCTATACATCCATTAGGGAAATTCCTCTTGGGTTGCTTTCTGTCATAAAGAAGACAGTGTTTTCTGCTTTTAATGGAGGGCACTGCTGATGCTCTTTTCCACCCAATATGTCGAGTGTTTTTATGAAGACCTGCCTTCAAACTCAGAATGTGTTTAACTTCTATTCACCCACACTAATAAGAAGTGGAAACACTAATTGTACTTTATTATATTACTATTGTGTTTGCACATCCTGTTTTGACAAAATATAATAAATCTTGCCAATTAATGATATTAACAAGCTTGTCTTTATTTCCTAGAAGTCTCGCTGTAGAAAATAAAGCATCTAAAATAGGTCTTTTTTTCTTCCTGAATGCCTTCTGCTTTCTTGGCTTCCATCTGGTTTATTTTGGCTTGCGTTCACAGCAGGATGGAGACTTCCTGTCTGTCCTAAAAGAATCGGGCTGTGCTTCATGTTTCCCGCCCATGGGACTGTCAGTCTTCATATACTTTATCGAATCATAAGGGTAGGTTTTCTGTCATCTTTTTGATTTACCCACATCGCCTCGTGTTGGGATATCTCACGTGCAGTGAAACGTTAATACCAATATGTTTAACATCAAGACTGCTTGCAGTGGTTTCAGCTCTGACCCAGGGCTCTTGGAAATGCTGACGTAGGCTGAAATTCAAATTAGGAGGGAGTGTAAAATTGTATCAAGAGGGTTTATTTCTGCATATCATCCCTCCTGCTCTTAGGAGCAGGAGTTGTGCTCAGTATTTTTCTCTGTTCTCATGCGTAAGTGCCCCGAAAATGAAATTTAATGATGACAGTGTTGGATCAGCAGAATACCACTGGAGGCTTCAATATTTCCGGCTGATATGATAAACGGGTATAGGAATTCCTTATCTACGCCCACAGAAAGGGAAATGAGAGATTGCCAGTGTTTGGTTTTTTTTGGTCTTTTTTTTAAAAGTCTCATTCACTCAATTCTTGGATTTTAAATTCCTTTAAAAAAGATTAAAGTATTGGAATAAACGGTGAATATGAAAACATAATCACATTTTCTATGAGTAGCCATTATCGTGGTGTGTTTGTGCTATCTGGGTGGTGTTTGTGGCACATGCGATAAGCTTGAAGTGTGACTCTTTAATCAACATCAAAGTGGGGATGACAGATGAGGATGGAGATGAAAGCTTCAGCCCTGTTTTTCTCTGCCTGTGTGTCTGCGTAGGTGCTACCTTTGACGTGGCCATGCGATTCCTGTCCGAATGTCCGTGGAAGAGACTCCAGGAACTGAGAGCTTTGATCCCGAATGTCCCATTCCAGATGCTGCTGAGAGGGGCCAATGCTGTGGGCTACACAAACTACCCCGACAACGCCGTCTTTAAGTGAGTCTCTCCTGCATACAGGTGCTGGTCATAAAATTAGAATATCATGAAAAAGTAGATTGATTTCAGTAATTCCATTTAAAAAGTGAAACTTGTATATTATATTCATACATTACATACAAACTCATATATTTCAGATGTTTATTTTGTTTAATTTTGATAATTACAAATGACAACAAATGAAAATCTCAAATTCATCATATCAGAAAATTAGAATATTGTGAAAAGGTTCAAAATTGATGGCCCCTGGTGCCACACTCTAATCAGCTAATTAACTCAAACCACCTGCAAAAGCCTTTAAATGGTCTTTCCGTCTAGTTCTATAGGCTACACAATCATGGGGAAGACTGCTGACTTGACAGTTGTCCAAAAGACGACCATCGACACCTTGCACAAGGAGGGCAAGACACAAAAGGTCATCGCTAAAGAGGCTGGCTGTTCACAGAGCTCAGTGTCCAAGCACATTAATAAAGAGGCGAAGGGAAGGAAAAGATGTGGTCGAAAAAAGTGTACAAGCAAGAGAGATAACCGCACCCTGGAGAGGATTGTGAAACAAAACCCATTCAAAAATGTGGGGGAGATTCACAAAGAGTGGACTGCAGCTGGAGTGAGTGCTTCAAGAACCACCACACACAGACGTATGAAAGACATGGGTTTCTGCTGTCGCATTCCTTGTGTCAAGCCACTCTTGAACCACAGACAGCGTCAGAAGCGTCTTGCCTGGGCTAAAGAGAAACTGGACTGGACTGCTGGTGAGTGGTCCAAAGTCATGTTCTCTGATGAAAGTAAATTTTGCATTTCCTTTGGAAATCAAGGTCCCAGAGTCTGGAGGAAAAGAAGAGAGGCACTTCATCCACGTTGCTTGAAGTCCAGTGTAAAGTTTCCACAGTCAGTGATGGTTTGGGGTGCCATGTCATCTGCTGGTGTTGGTCCATTGTGTTTTCTGAGGTCCAGGGTCAACGCAGCCACATACCAGGAAGTTTTAGAGCACTTCATGCTTCCTGCAGCTGACCAACTTTTTGGAGATGCAGATTTCCTTTTCCAACAGGACTTGGCACCTGCACACAGTGCCAAAGCTACCAGTACCTGGTTGAAGGACCATGGTATCCCTGTTCTTAATTGGCCAGCAAACTCTCCTGACCTTAACCCCATAGAAAATCTATGGGGTATTGTGAAGAAGAAGATGCAATACACCAGACCCAACAATTCAGAAGAGCTAAAAGCCACTATTAGAGCAACCTGGGCTATCATAACACCTGAGCAGTGCCACAGACTGATCGACTCCATGCCACGCCGCATTGCTGCAGTAATACAGGCCAAAGGAGGCCCAACTAAATACTGAGTGCTGTACATGCTCATACTTTTCATGTTCATACTTTTCAGTTGGCCAACATTTCTATAAATCCTTTGTTTTTATTGGTCTTCAGTAATATTCTAATTTTCTGATATGATGAATTTGAGATTTTCATTTGTTGTCATTTGTAATCATCAAAATTAAACAAAATAAACATCTGAAATATATGAGTTTGTATGTAATGTATGAATATAATATACAAGTTTCACTTTTTAAATGGAATTACTGAAATCAATCTACTTTTTCATGATATTCTAATTTTATGACCAGCACCTGTACAGCAGCATTTCAGCAAGCCCAATTGCTGTTATATTCAATTTACCAATAAAAAGCCTGTTTTGGTCCCAACAAAATGTTTCTTGAGAACTGAATAATAACATAAATTGTGTATGTATGTGTATGTATGTAGGTGTATATTTGTATTTATGTAGATGTATATACTCTTCCTCACCCACTGCGGGCGGTCTCCTTCTCCTGGGAGCTTGAGGGTTTTGCGCAGTATCTTTGCTGTTCCTAGAACTGCACTTTTCTGGACCGAGATGCCTGATATCTTTCCAGGGATGTGCTGTAACCATTCCTCAAGTTTGAGGGTCACTACCCTGAGTGCTCCAATGACCACGGGTCACCTTCCAGGTTTTCTCCAGCTCTTTTCTGAACTCCTTGTATTTCTCTAGTTTCTCATGTTCCTTTTTCCTGATGTTGCAGTCACTTGGTATTGCTATGTCAACCACGACAGCTTTCCTCTGCTTTTTCTCTACCACCACAATGTCCAGTTGGTTTTCCATTACCATTTGGTCCGTCTGTGTCTGGAAGTCCTTGGGGTTTCCAGCCTATACTCTGCACAGATGTTACTGTAGACTGCTCCAGCCACTTGATTAAGGCGCTCCATGTAAGCTTTCCCTGCCACTGTCTTACACCCTGCAGTTATATGCTGGATTGTCTCAGGGGCCACTTTCCACAGTCTGCACCTGGGGTCTTGTCTGGTGTTTTAGATCTGGGCCTCTTAATGCTCTGGTACTCGGGGCAATAGCTTGCTTCTGTGCAGCCTTGATGAGTGCCTCTGTGCTGTCCTTCAATCCCGGCCATTGGTAGGATTTCCTGATATCCGCCACTTTGGTTATATTTCATTGGTACATCCCATGTAGGGGATTATCCTCCAATGACAGAACCTCCAGCACCTCATCTTCTGTTTACCATTGTCTGAGACATTAGCTGAGCACGTTGTCTGTTGGAGCCTTGTCCTTTAAGTACTTATGGATCCTTGATGTTTCATCCTGGATAGTGGCTCTCACACTTGCTAGTCCTCGGCCTCCTTCCTTACGGCTAGCGTACAGTCTCAGGTTGCTGGATTTGAGGTGGTACCCTCTGTGCATGGTTAGGAGATTTTGTGTCTTAACATGTGTGGCCTGTATCTCATAATTTGGCCAGCTTTTCATTCCTTCAGGGTGTTTGATTGCTGGTAGCGCGTAGCAATTTATTGCCGAGACTGATTCTTGCAGTTGAGTTGGCTTCTTTGGACCTGCCTCACTCATTTGAGGTGTTTGGCCGTAGCCGCTTTCCTTGTCACCTCTTGAAGTTTGCAATTTGCTTGAAGGATTCGGAAGTACTTGTTACTGTCCTTAATGTCTGCTCTTTTCACCCTGGGAGTGAGACCCCCTCTGTGTGGACTACCTTTTCTTTTAGTTACCACCCAACCACACTTCTCTAGTCCAAATGACATCCCGATGTCTGTGCTGTAGATCTGGGTTGTATGGATCAGTGAGTTGATGTCTCGCTCATTCTTAGCGTACCCTTGATGTCATCCATGTAGATGAGGGGACTTATGGTGGCCCCGTTCTTGAGTTGGTATCCATAGCCAGTCTTGTTATATATGCCACATTTAATTGAGACATGTGCAAGTGTCTTACAATTGGCCTCAAGGATGGTTTTCCACAACTTCATTGAGTTTGCAATGAAGGCTGTTAGAGTCCTGTTAATGTTTTATAGATACAGGCATTCAATGATCAAAGTGTGTGGCATTGACTCGTAGGCTTTCTTGTAATCAATCCAGGCAGTGCTCCAGTTAGTGTTTCGGGTTCAGCAGTCTTGAGTGACTGTTCTGTCTACCAGGAGCTGATGTTTGACACAGCTGCTATTTTTACCGATTCCTTTCTTAGCTGTGCTCATGTATTTATCCATGTGCCCACGTATCTTAGCAGCTGTGATCCCGGACATGTGCTTCCACATTGTGGAGAGGCAGGTTATTGGCCAATAGCTGGATGGGACGGTAATGTTGGTAGGATCCTTCAGGATCCAGATTGTGCACCCTTCGGTTTGGCATTCAGGGTGGTTCCCATCTCTCAGCAGCTGGTTCAATTGTGCTGCCTAGCGTTCATGAAGAGCCGAGAGTTTCTTAAGCCAGTAGGCGTGTATCATTTAGGGGCCTGGTGCTGTCCAGTTTTTTCCATGCCTGAAACGCTTTCTTGGATGTCTGCCACTGTGCTGGTGACTGGATTCTGTTCAGAGAGGTTGCTGAGGTCCTCTCTGAGCCACCAACCACTGTACATCACTGTTGTGTTCTGCCTCCTTCTCCCATATGCTTTGCAGTACTGATAATTTTCAAGCATTGGTGGGGCTGTTCTACTATTGCTCTCTTGCCACTGAGCATACACTTTTGCTGGTTGAGTTGCGAACAGCCGGTTTACCTGTCTGGCTTCATTGACTCTTGTGTACCTTATATACCTCAATTATATTCTACAAACTAAAAATTAACATGTCTGTGTTTCCAAAAGGTTTCTCATTTGCTTCCCTTATTTGTTTCAAACATGTGCTTTTTTATCACTGTTCTATTAGAAAAGCCAACGTTCTTGCACTTTTCCCCAATTAGCAATCTGTCCAGGGTTGAAGTCTGGCAATTTCGGCCTTTTCTTATATGCGTCATGCTTCATTCCCTGAACGCAGAGCATCAGCCTGCATTTAGAAAATGTCTTTAGCTAAAAAGCCACATTCCTTCTGAAATGTTGCTTCAGCATTGTTGGGTTTTAAAGACACCTTTGCTTCATTAAGATTCTGTCTCATCTCTTTGGCTAAGCAGTCCAATCTTATCTTCTCTCTCCTCTTTTTTTCTCCAGATTCCTCCATCTGCCGAGCTGCAAATTTAAAAAACATTTTGACACGTTAAATATGTCGCTGGTCAACCTCCTCTCTGTAATTAGCTTTGCTTTTGCCAACTTTCCCACCAGTCGGTTCATGGTGGACTTGAGCTTTTCTCATAAATGGTAAATGGCTTGTACTTGTATAGCCCCTTTTCAAGTCAAAGGACTTGACCAAAGCACTTTACACTACAGTCATTCATCTATTCACACACAGATGGAGCTGCGTTGTAGCCAAAAGCGGCCCTGGGGCTCCTTAACAGAAGTGAGGCTGCCGTTCATTGGCGCCACCAGTCCCACTGACCTCCTCTTTCCCAGCATCCTTGCCAACTTATTTTATCTGAGGGAAGATTGCGTTGCATCAGTTGAGTTGGACAAGCCATCTACAACTGAGCTTCTTTTATGGTTGTCTAACAATGCTAGCCTCAGCCATACAAAAAAGTTTGTGGACTATGTCCAAATAAAGAATTTACAGAGAAATTTTAAGACTTCAGTTAAATGAAAAGCACATAAAA